TTTGCTGTTGGTTGGTGAGAAATTGACAAAGCAATGGTTTGATTCTGATAAACTCGTACTTGATCAAGGAAACTCCCCCCTAACGTGAGGTACTGGGATGGATACGTTGCAAATATAGATGCTGTTTCATTTGGGCCATACACAGTCAACACGCCTCCACTAAACTCCATGATAGCATCTGTAACAGAAACATTTTTTTATATCTGGGGGAAAAAATTAACTGCAAACATTGTCTCAACAAAAAATATTTTCTGACTTGAATGCAAACAAACCAATTCTGACATTTCAGAATATGTCTCAAGTTACTCCACAAAGTAGATTTTCATGACAGTTTCTGTGTCCCTATTTCAATCATCACTTCACGAATCTATCATTGAACAAAGACTGAATTTAGAGAATTTTCTTGAAGGATTATGTTGGTTCAGTACTGGTTTGTTGGCATTCATACTGCTTGTAATGAATCAGTTCAAGTGTGAATAAAGACATTCCAGTGATTATAGAAAGACCAACCGTAGTAAACCAAGTAGACCAGCGCTGATGCCACATATGCCCCCAGGACTTGGGAGAGGCAGTACGGTACCAGCCTTCCCCACTTCACCTTCCTCAAGACACAGAAACTTAGAGTCACCGCGGGGTTTAGATGGGCTCCTGAGGGTTATGAGAATCGGACGGTTGATTAGATTATCGCCACAAGATAAATAAGTCAGTCAAAAGAACGCTCTTAAAGACTTAAAGACTCTTTTTAAAAAGATTTCCTGTGATACATTTGAGGAGTAAAAGCAAGACATTTCTTCCTGCTGCTTATCTGATGTTGGACTTGAATTTCCACTGTGCAGCTGGTTATAGAAGTGATAATTTAATAACTTTACACATCAGTCAATTTAAATAGTGATGGCACATGTTAGCTTGTGATATATTTTACCTGAGATCCCCTTGGTCAGGTACATTGCTGACATCACCCCCACAGAGAAGGACATGTTGATCGACAGATACTGGCCTTTGGTGTCTCGGCTGGTTTTTACCTGCGCTATCGCAGAGCAACCAAACATCTGTATGGTACACAGAGAGAAGAGCTGAAAATGGTTGGAGGCAAAGTTACGTTTCAAAGTCCAGGTTAGGAATTAATATGAGGAGAAAATGTGATTTCAATATTGCTGCTGAGATAAGATGCCTTTTACTCAACATTAAGCCACCCTTTATTTAAAAAGCTGCATTAATATATCGTTTCCGACCACCATCAAGCATAAATATGTGAAAACAGATTACTGCTACAGCTCAGTGTTACCTTGAACACTGAGTTTTAGTCAAATGAGAACAAAATAATCCAAAACCTTCACAACAAATACTCCAGATTGGTACATTGCACAGTTTTAAATACAGTGGATGAGTTGTGATGATGTGCTTCCATGTCTTCCCCAGAGGTTTGTAAAAGTGCATGGCATTATGATCTTTAAAATACCAAGAAATTTTAATAAAAATAAAAATCACGGCCCATATTCTCAAAAAAATCCTAAGAGTAAAAGTAGCGCATAGTGAGATTGTTTTAGGAAACATCTTGGAATATCTATAATTCTAAGATTTTTCTGTAGAGAACATAAAAGTAAAATAAAAGTTATTCACAAAGTTACCCTTTAAGAGCTCCGAAAGAGAAAAAATGCGAGGAGTAGCCAGGTGTTTATTCTTTTTCATGAACCTAGGAATGTCTTCAGCAGAGAAGACAGGAGAAATATTGACTGTAATCTGTCCTGTTTTTTTTTCCTTCCTGTTCTTCCCCATTTTAAGACGATCGTTTTGCCAGATCAAATAAGTTTCTACAATCATTGTGAATGGCTGACAGCTGTTAATATCACATTAATATAAAATATATGACAACATGTTGATGCCGTGTGGCAATTAATTCACACCTACCTACAGCAAATGCTGCAATTATTGAAAGTAGTTTATGAATTAGTTACCAGTTATTCTCTAGGATAAACGCAAATGAAAGCAGAGGAATGGTTATTTAAAGATTTAAGAAATATTAATACATCTCCAGAGTCACCCACCATCAAAACAAATACTCCCAGGAACTCAGCCATACATTCTCGGACCAAGGCACTCCTCAGCCTCAGCATACGCAGCTTCATCGTGACTTGACTGTCCTGAATCGGTCGTCTCCACCTGAGCGTCAGAGGATGTGCGGACTGTATCACTCATCCCTTCTGGTTTGCCTTAACACCCCACTGAGTTGGATAAACACTAAGGGCCGTAACTTAGTTATTAACTCGCTGTCATAGATAATGTGATATATTGCTTCTGTTAGAGGTTGCTCACATGAACAGAGTCCATGAATTTTCAGATAATAGAACAGACTTGTGTAAGCCGCATGGTGCTTGTCTTTGAAAACAAAACTTTCTCTTATTTACTGGGAGGAATGAACTGATAATGTTGAATGAACTAATAACTGATAACAGTATCGGTTCATTCTTCCCAGAATGAACTTGCTCAGGTGTAATGGAACCTGAGCTCAGGTTTTTGAGCAGGTGTTGGAACAGATAACAGATAACGGAGTTTTCAGTGAAGAGGATTTTTCTTCTCTTTCCAACCGAAAGAGTAGAAATATATATTATACTCCATTAATATATGAAAAATATGCTCCATTAATAGATAATGGAGCATATTTTTTTCTGTGAACCAGGTTTGATTTAGGGACAGAGGTACCAATTAACCAGAAATGGGAGAAACTTCGAGAAACTCCCAGTAGGAGACAGCTGGGTGGAAGGCATCTTGAGATATATATATATATCATAAGATATAAAAGGAGAATTGTATGTGTTAAGTTTCACTTCTTCTTCCTTCTTTTCTCTTGCTTTTCCTCAGATGCTGATATTTACTCTGATTTTCTAAATAAAATATGTAAAGACAAATATGCATTTCTCTGATTGATTGAGTGTATCACTCTCTCCCAAAACAAAAAAAAAGATTTTTCCTAGACATGTTTTGCAACCTGTCAGCAAATTTCTTGATGGTACACAGAGATTTTTTTTCTTATAGAGATAGAACTTGTGAGAATAAAACGAATTGTTTCTGTCGCTCAGAGGAGAGAAACCTACTGTATGTCCTTCAGAAAACTTCAAACGCTCTAAATGCTCTCTTTGCAAATTTAATATAAAATGGAGTATTTTTTATACCATTTTCATGTGCATATAAGCACTTCAGACAAACAATCATTTTAATTTGGTAACTTTTATTGACTCAGGGATGTACAATATCTAAAATTCATCTTTGCTTTCTTTAAAACGTATGAATGCACGAATGCTTTAAATTCAGAGCTTTCCAAGATTATTTTAGAGCAGAAAAATTATTTACATTATGATAGTTTACATAAATTTACTTCATGTAAGGGACTAATATGATAGAAACAATAACTGATAGGTATTTGTGAATCTAGATGAAAGAACAAACAGACAACGCAAGTGAATTTTATGAAAGCTTTTGCAAAAGGAGAGAACCCAGCAAACCGCTGCTTCCAGCCGTTCACCGAGCGCTCTGAAGATCCTTTGTTAGGGCTTTCTCTTTTATTACAAAGTAGATAGTAGAAAAGGAATGTGGAGGGAGGCAGATAGGAGTATCCCGAAGATACAAGTGGCTGCAGCTTCAAAGTCTAACAAGTATGAGAGCTTTTCTCAGGGATGTGAATACTAAATCTATTATAACTACCAATGTAAGAATGATAACAAAACATAATTATTCTAACAATAACCACATCAGTCTCCAGCTGAACTCTGGACTCCTGTAACTCTGCTGGGTTTTAAAACTGTGTTATCGCTCACAGGACAGCTCCTATAGAATCCTTTCAATGAGAATACATAAGCAGTACGACGCAGCAGACGATCAGACCGTTCTGTATGGAGTCGCTAATCTGAACAGTTTGTTCTTATCTTTCAACTCTCATGGTGTAAAACACCTGAAGAGCAGCTGATTACATGCTTCTGAAATATTGGTATTTTTGTGCAAGTGAAGAAAAGGAAAATACACAAAATATGCTTGTAAAGCAACAAGGTAATACCAAGCAAAACTGCTTGCTGGGCTTTTCTGCACAATTGTCAACTGATGGTTTTCAGCTAAATTACATAGGATTTATGTCAAATTACAGGTGAAGTTTCTACTATATATTGACCATGATCTGACTTCTTTTATGTTAATATAATCTGCATTTCATACAGTCCATAAATTAGATTAACTGAAACATCAATCAACACAACTTCTTAAAAGATTTAAAAAAAAAAATCTTACACAACTGTCTCTTACACATGTAACATGTAACATTTACAACATGTTAAATGTTAAATGTTAGATGCATGTAACATTTAACATGCGTTTAAGTGCATGTTAAATGTTACACCGTTCTTTATTGTCAGCATTGTCTCTGCTATTGTGAAAATCATAATTTCCAACAAAACACCTAAATGAAATCAATTTTCAAACTTGAAGTGACAATGTAAGCATTTAAACTGTGAAGAATATTCTTTTTATATATTTATTTAACCACAGCTATCATTCTTTGAAAAAATGCAGCAATGTAAACCTCTAAATGTCCTGTAGAAAAAGTTGTATAAAAAATGCTTGAAGAAGACGAGTTCTAGTTTAGTCTCTTTATTTTAGACATTCTAACATACAGTATGAACATCTGGGAAATGTTGCAGTGCCATTTTGAAAATCCTTTGGGATTAACCTTTAAGATTTGCTTGCAGCTGCATATTCGCATACTCATATTCAGAACTGAGGAAAAATGTAGCCACAAACGCGGTGCACCTACTTCACACAAGAGGGAACCAAGTCCTCACTTTCAGCACACACAAAGAACACAATATAATAATCACTCTGAGCTTAACCAGGGAATAAAAAGAAACTTACATAACTGGTGCTCTGACATGTTGGAAGAAGAGGGGAGCAACTGGCAGCATGATATTAATTCAAATGTCTTGTTATTCATTAAAAAAATGTGAATTTGTCAGCTTATATGTCATCTTCCAGGGAAGACTCTGAGACAGGCTTGTGTGAATCAACAAGATATTATTTCAACCAAGCCCACTATATATTTTTGCTTGAGGCAAGAAGAATCTAAGGGTCGAATTGTGGACATGATCTTTTTCTCAGATTGCAGCCTGCAGATAGCCTCCAATAAGCCCACTCTCTATGCAGAGCTCTGTGTGAAGGCCAACATAAGGCTTGGAGATCTGCAGTTGTTGACTTTGCAGAAACTTTCAGCTTTTTACGTCTAACTCAACTGCTACCACTGATATTTTACTGAGGAATATGTAGTTGAAGAAAATTTAACAGGAAATATGAGTTTAAAGGAACAGTGCAATCCCACATCACCATTTGCAACATTGGTTGTGCCACATAAGATTAGCCAGGGGAAATAAACGTAGGGTGCTGTTGATGGCATTGAGTTGAAACATGACATTGATCTTGTTTCTTTTAAAATAATAGTAATAAAAAGATTACAAGTAAATACCACCAAGTGGCAGCAGTTTCAAACATTGAGCCTTGTGGTAGTCCCATAGAGTTAAAATCACTGAAGCATTCAGCACTGAAGAGTCTCAGTACCAATAATCACCACTAGACAAATTTCCTGTGCTTCTCCTGACTTGTCGGTTCTCATGTTGGTCTGAGTTTTGGTTTTGTGCTATGGTTTAAATGCAGTTTAGTTTTCCTGGTTTCTGTTTTCTTCAGTGGCCTCTTGCTCCAGCTCCATTTACAGCCAAAACCCAAATGTAGGATAAAACAAGTTCTGTTGTGTAGAACTTTACAAATTGCAATCAGACTCCTCTCCACTAATGTCGCCTAGTTTCCTCTTTCTATCAGTTCTGTCTCTTTCAAGTCTGATTTTCTCAACAGGTTTTGTTTTGTTGGACAGTATTTCTAATAATTCAGTAACTTGTTCAGTAAGAACAAGTTACTGAATAGTTCTTACAATTCAGTAAGAACGAATCAGAACTGTTTTTGCTTCAGCTCTGGATTACTCTGCTTTATGCTGAAGTGTATTTTACAGTTTTCTTGTAAAAGACAGCAGCTTTTGATCAACATATTAAAGTAATTCACTATTATTTGTTCATATTAAGATGAATTTTTGATGCAACTGATGCATATTGAACTGCAACTTTCAATTGTGGAGAAGTACAGAGTTAATCTGTTATGTTACCGCAGCAAATTTATGGTAGTTTTTAAATAGGATTTACACAGTTCATTGACAAAACTCAGGAGATGATTGTGTTTTACCTGCAGAGCAAAATTCTTTATCTTTATAAAATTTCACCAACCAACTAGAATTAACAATTAGTAGTTATTTGCATTGGCATGAAGGCTTAAAGGTCTCTTACTAACATTCAGGAATTAAAAATATGTTGTCTTTAGTTCCTCTCCTTTTTTCTGCATAGCGACAGACGGCTTGATGCTCCCACTGATGGAACAGATTTGAGGGTGACTTTCCTGTGGTTCATCAGGCAGCTGGCATTCGATGAAGATCAAATACAAAGAAGTGCCTGTAAGAGCCCCAATAATTGGAGCCACAATTGGTACCCAGAACCAGTAGTTGTAACACCTGAGGAGAAATAAAATTACAAAAATGTTCAAGATTTAAATGTTTGCCAGATGGCAAGACATTGTCAGTGTTGCAAACTGAGATGAATCTAAATGTCGATGAGACAAACATTTCACTGAAAGGGTAAAGACTGAATATTGCTGTCTGGAATCTAAAAAAATCAGTCAGCCTTTCTAAAGATTTTCAAAGCAAATCAGTCAAATTAAAATGGACCTTCCTGATATAAGAAGACTGTTGAGACATGGTTTGAAAAATTAAATCTGCACTCTGATTTCTTTTTTCTTTTTTTTACCTTTAAAATTACTTTAACCTTTAAAATTACTTCAACAACATCCATATGAAATGGATGTGTGGGCTCTCATTGCAGTTGGCATCTTCCTACATGCCCTTTCCAGTCCAGGCAATAATCACTTTTTGATTATAATGTGTTCAACTGAACTACAAATAAAATGACAACAGCAGCCGCTTCTCTTTGCAAGTGTTGTAAATAATGAGTCAGCAGTGAAAAGCTGCACCGAAAAGCTTTTTGGAGTTTTGCCCTGAATCTGAAGAGTCGACGCACGCTGCCTGAGCAGATAATATCTGGTGTGTCAAGTATTGGTGGAGCAAGGCTCTTAAAATCCTATTCAGAGCTTGTGTTGTGGAACAAACAACAGATTCTTATCATGTGTTGTGTGAAACAGAGACAGATCCCCACTGCAGAGCAAAGATTTCCCAGAAATGTGATAGATATTCATTTTTCAGCTGTCTGACTGCTGAAGTTGAGGTGAATGAGCAACGCAGGACCATGTTCTTACGTAAAGACTTCGGTTCCCCAGCCTGCAGTCAGCGTGAGGAGGCGTGGCCCCAGGTCTCGAGCGGGATTTAAAGCAGCGCCACAGTTAGCCGACATGGACATGACGATGCCGAGCACGATGGCTGCAACTATGGGAGCAATCAGATCAGGAGGAGCAGGGGTGTTCCTCTTCTCGGTCAAACTCAGGATGCATAAGAGCAGCATTCCAGTCCCCACTACCTGATCAAATTAAGGTTTTAGAATCAGTGAAAGTGTCAGTCAAAGGTTATCTACTAAAGCACAGTTTTCATCTTGATAAACACTGACTTGGTCCAGAAAGCCCCCTCCTAATGGGAGGTACTCAGATGGATAAGTGGCAAAAATAGATGCTGTTTCGTTTGGGCCATAGACAGTCAACACGCCTCCACTAAACTCCATTATAGCATCTGCAGAAAAAGAAAAGAACAGGTCTAACAAGAGTCAAAATGATTAGGTTTATGTCTTACTTTTCTGAATATTATCACAACTCCGCGGTGAATGTCTCAGTATTAACATCCTTGATTATCTTAAACTTTTAATCTCTGCAGGTGTTTTATTCGAATCCTGTTTTAAATCCTGAAGCTCCGGTAACTATCAGATTATTTAAACCTCATCTCTTCAGACTTGCTCCAGTCTGCTGCAGACGTTCACAGCACAGAAAAAAAATTGTGATCAAAAAAGTGGCTGGTCCAGAAAAACTGAATCCTTGCTTTAGTAAAATTCCACAGTTTTTACGAAAACCTAAAACATGACAAGACTCCCCAAATTTAGCAGTTTGCTTTTTTCTTCCTTTTCTGTAAAGAGGTGAAGTTTGGGGTCGGCATATTTTAAACCGATTTCAAAATTGTTTCCTCTGCTTAGAAAACAACATATTATCGTTTTTGCTGCTCTTAACATTTTAAATAATATTACCCATGCATTGTAAAAATACAGTGTTGTCATTTTTATTGATCTGTCTAAGCAGTGTCAAGGAATAAAACAATTTTAATATTTTACCATGGAACCAAAATTAGGACAAAAAAATGTGGCCGATCAGATAATGTGTGGGTCACCTTTGTTTTTTAAAGTGTTTTCACATAACACAGAGGCTATTATGATCTGATTTGCATTATTTTATTCATTTACTGAAATATATTTTCACTCTACAATATTGCTAATAGTATTTGTAAATTGTGCCAATTTTTTACTTCTTTACTTGTAATCCACTATTAAGTTTTTTTGTGGTGAGAAATTATCTCACTTATTTATATCATTTATTTAGTAGATTATTTTCAATTGATCAAATGTTCTGCATTTTTCTGCATTGTTCTATTTTTACAGAACTGATTGGTTTGGCTTTATTGTTATTCATTCTGTGCTTAAAATAAAAAGCTGTCAATATATCGGACAGGTACTGCAGGAACACATACAGTACATTAATTTAATACATTAATAGTAGAAAGACAAACCGTAGTAGAGCGCATAGACCAGTGCTGCTCCCACATACGCTCCAAAGATCTGTGACACACAATAGGGCAACAGCTGTCCCCACCGCAGCTTCCCCAAAATACAGAAACACAGAGACACCGCGGGGTTCAGGTGGGCACCTGGGGACAAATAAAGACAGATACTTATAACGCAAAACCAAACTTCAAATGTCACTGATGCATTTTGAACAGCGGCTTCCCCTTATCAGCAATTAATCCTCACTTTCATTCCCTGTAATGCATTAACAACATGAGAGAACATGTCTGAGAATATTGTAGCTTGCCTTCAATTTTTACCTGAGATCCCCTTGGTGAGATACGTGGCTGACATGACTCCCACGGCCCAAGACAGGTGGATCGACAGAGTTTGGCCTTTAGTCTCTCTGCTGGTTTTTACCTGCGCTGCTGCTGATAAGCCAAAGAGCTTCATGACACACAAACATAAACACCAACAGAGACATCTCAGGTTTAAATGAAAAGAAACACGTCATTCACTGGGAAGAATTTGAAGGCAGACATAAGTAGATGTATATTTTGCTGCAACATTCCTACATAGCAGCCATTTACTCATCTACTGGTATAAAATGATTTTAAAAAAGTAAGTCCAGTTAAAAATGTTCAATACCAAAATGGTGTTAATAATAGATATTTCTTATGTCCAACATTAGTATCTGCCCCTTTTCTGGAAGAAAAAACAACAACAAAAAATGCTTGTAAACTTAATGGAAAGTCTTTCTATAAATACAGCTGATATAGCTCCAAAGAGTGGTCTACTAAAAATATTGATGTCTTTGTTGTTCCTGTCATAGTTATTGATCTAATACTTTTGGCAACCAAGTGAAGGATATCAAAGACAAGATAAAAAACACTATAAATTCAGCGATTACAGGTTGGAGATAAAATCGCCAAGGTTGGATCTGACAGAACAACAGTCCTAAACATAGTTTTTAAAATCCCTTTAAAACCTAACATAAAAATAAACCTAAAAATCTGTATTCTAAACAACAAACTGTAGAATATTTATCTAAATATTTAAAGCCTTTCATATGTCTAAATCTGGTGAATGCTGTATGCTTATGGAGCTTTCATAGTAAAAAAAAAACTCAGTGTTTTTACATAAGAACCAGTTTAACCCAGTCACAATCTAAATGCTCAAACATTCATTCACTCATATGAATATGGAGGCCCAAGAGCATCAGGATGTGATGGCAGAAACTACATTTTATGTGGTATTTGAACTACCAATTAAAAGAAACAATGCACTACTGCCCAAAATATACTTTTGCAAAATCTCACAATTGATGCAAATACACACCAAAGTCTTTTTATGACATTTTAAGGTCTTTGTTTGAGCTTCCTTTGCATTTAAAATAAATTAAATTGCCTCCACTGTATTTAAAACTTGTAATGATCTTAGTCCAACTTATGTTTTTCAGATTTTCTTTTACAGGCCCCTGAGATCTTCTGGAAAAGGTTGTCTGCTGATACCTAAACTAAGAATTAAAAATTTTAATGTAGTCTTTTAGAAATTTCTTGTGTCTACTCTTTAAATGTATTTTCTCAAATCATCTGCAAAACAATTTAAGATTTTTTTTTTTATCTTAGCTTGAAAGATTTTTTTTAAATCTTTCAAGGAAAAATCAACAAATCAAACAATCAAATGTTTCATAAATTAGCTTTGCAAAACTGCAGGAAAATTATTTGCTTTACTCATAATTTGCACAGTTTTGGTTGAAAACCAGATGAGCATGCTCTCATTGTTTTTCAGACATATTTCAAGGATGAATTAAAAGTTTAGTGTAACTTACGAGCAAGATGAACGTTCCCAAAAACTCTGCCATGCATTGTCGGATGAGAGCGCTCCTCACTCTCAGCAAACGTGGATTCAGCATGGTTGGATTGGAGTCACAGCACTTTTCACCTTTATGTCCGACTAAATCTCCTCAGGAGTTTGATGTTATCCGTTTTAGAATACAGGGTCGTGTTGGGAATAAATGCCTAACAGACAAACACAAGAGAAATGGCTGCTGCATTTAACATGAAGTGTTACATATATTAGGGGTTGATAAGCATTAAGAGAGGTCATAAAAACATATAATCAGAGAGCTGTAAAAGAGTGTAATAAACTATTGGAGCAGGTTTAAAACCTGTCAAAGCTGCAGTTATTTGACTGGCAGAACAAATAAGAATTAGTACCAATCAAATCAAGCAAGATTTCAAAACCTACTAACAATGTGCAATGCATCCCACTCACAAAAATACAGATGAAGTGCATTATACCAAAATAAATGTTTGCATTGCGTAAGTTACATAAGCACAGAGATTTATACTATGTCCTGATAGCACTTATTATAACTCATGATGAAAGTTTTTAATCCTTGAAATTAATTAGTTTGGTGTGATAATAATTTGTATGCAAACGGTTATTAAATGCAAACATAATATTGTCTTTAGAACAACATCTGTGCAGGAGTGCTTCCTGGATTCACTTTTGGTTACATTTGCAAATGTGTGCTTTAATGAAGATTTCCATTCAGGGGCTCAATCACTGCGAACCTGCAGTAATCAATAAAAGTAAGATTCAGAGTGAACTCATTTTACTTACGCTGTTCTTACGGGAATCTGTTTGTTCCAAACACATAGATATGTTCCTAGTACAGAAAATTTGCAGAGAGAATTAAGTAATTATAATTGTAACTGTAATAATTTTATAATTAAAGTTAGTTACATGCTTGCATCAGAAAAGGGGTCACTATCAAGTCAGTGACTTTGACCCATTATAATTTGTCAAACTTCCTTAAGATATACAGTATACATATGTGTGTGTGTGTGTGTGTGTGTGTGTGTGTGTGTGTGTGTGTGTGTGTGTGTGAGATGGCCTTTGACTGGTTGGCATTACGAAGTGAATTTGACTGCACTATTAGTTCAAGTTGACGTCACAGCAATGTATTTGAATCTGCTCATATATGAAACAACTGCAATGAGAAGATTTGATTCACGTATTTCTGTATATCTAGATATGAGTGGAATTAATTTGTCCCACAAATTACCAAGAAAGACACTTCTAGAATCTGGTTGTGATCTGTTATCATCTTGTGTGACATTAAGCTGCAGAAGATAAAACACTCTCATCACAACAAATGTTGTCATCATCACCACCTGCTTGAGTCAAGACTGTAATATAACACTAATAATTTGCTTACTTTATCAAGGTTTCATTGCTCTTGATTTCTGTCAACAGAGGTGCATTGAATAAGAAAGAGCAACAGATAAGATAAACGATTCTATGATGAAGCAATTCGGTCCTGCTTTCTGCAAGGATGAAAATGTTTGATCAGATGTTTCACTAGTTTTCATCTTAATTGCAATCTTTTATTTTTTTTAATAGTTAATGTCTGCACAACATATTTTTATTAATTTAATTCAAATTTCATAAAATTAGGCTTGCAGCTGTATATTTTGTCAAAAATAAATATGAGCTTGTTGATGACCAGGATGTTATTCAATAACAGACACACTTCCTTGACAATTTTAAGGAATGTTCAAGGTAAATAGGATTTCTGCAGACTTTACTATCATATTGTCCATATTATTGTAATAATAAGTTATTTTAATAAGAAACTCACACAAGCAATTGCTTCTTGATCTCAATATCTCCATAATCAAACAAGCATTTAGGTGGTAAAGTAACAGCAACAGGAGGAAAGTATTTGAAGCAAGTGTAGAAATGTTGAGTTTAATATCTGCAGTTTCAACTGCTGCAGCTGATCAATGGTATTCACATTGCCTACTGTATGCTTCCCCGGTCACGTTTACCATAATCCACTGTTCTGCAGACGAAACTTTGATTTCTGTGTATTGTCTTGAGTTGATTGCCTGTGAGTGATTCTTGAGAACAGGGACAAAACAGGTCCTATGGATAAAGCACAAAATTTGAATAAAATATACTCAAAATACATATTTTTTCAAATATCTCACTAAACTAATCTGGGCCATGTAAGTAGATTATGTTTTCCTGGTGTTTTCTGAAAATGTTATGTGAAGAATCTGCATTTAGTACTTGGTTTTGGCTCCTTTTGCATGAAAGGTGGCATGGAGGCGATTCACCTGCGGTGCCGCAACTCGGCTTCCTTTAATTTGCTGGCAACAGCTTATCTACACTGTCTCATCTTTCAAGTGGCTGTATCTCATAGCCGTAAGGATCTGGGCCAGGTCAGCATGCTGGCCAATCAGGCACAGTGACACTGTGGTTATTAAATCAGGTATCAGTACATATCACATGTTTGACAATGTGATCAGGTACAAAGTCCCGTTGATAAAAAGAGCATCTCCATAAAGCTAGGGAAGAATGAAGTGCTCTAAAATTTTCCAACTGGTGGTTATGCTGATTTTGGACTTGATAAAACCAAATGGACCATCACTAACAGATGGTATGACTTTCCACTGGCTGTGGAAACGTCACTGGATATCAAATAACTTAGAAATTTCACTCATCCCGTCACCCTTTCACATTATCGTGACCTCGGTTACATTATGTTTAGATGTAGCACTCTATGGACAAGCATCTTCAGCACTGAAGGTTTGTGGTTTACCCAATGCCATTCATCAACTGTCAATAATCACCTCCTTCTAGCTGGTTGACAATTTTACTAACAAACTTTAAAATGGTACCAATGAAAGAACCTTTATTAATTCTATATTAGTGTCTCTTCACTTGTGTATAATTTTTAAAATAATATTTATATAAACATTATCTTAGAAAGATACTGTCATCAACTCCGTTCATCATTCAACGTGGAAATGACCTGTTCAGGGTTTGTTGGTTTTCCTCCACTCATTTAGCATGTCTTGCAGTCAAAACATGCAAAATGCAGTTTTCCTGCCACCTGAGTTGTTGAACTCTACAGCTCTTCCAGAGATGCCATGAGCCTCTTGACTGCTTCTCTGATGTCTTAAACAGACAGCAACTGAAACGGTGTTAAAAAGAAATAGACAAGAATACTACAAAAGTGTGTGGTAGAAAAATATAAAGTACTTTTTTTTAAAGTATCGTTTTCTCCCTTTAACAAACCCTAAAAAATTAAGTCAAAAGAAATATTTCATAAGCATTTTAAAATTATAATTGTGTTACAAACATAAACCCATATGTCAATCAAACTAAAGCAGGTTAATATTCCTCTCTCTCTTATAAGAGTAAGAATACTTAATTTAATGAAAATATTGGTATTTATTAAAAATACATCAAAGTACAAGCAGTTATTCACAATAAAACACTTTGTGTAAAATACATTAAGTGCCAGATTTTTACATAATGACAACATTTTCTCTTTTTAAATGTTGGTTGGTTTTATAACACATGGATACAATTCATTACTCTAAACAACTCAGGCCTTGAGGTAGATTTACATGGCAACACATAATGAGAAAAATGTACACCTTTGACCTGGTTTCAGGCGTCCTTTGCTCATACTATCATGATGACGTTTGTCATCATGACTGTTTGTTCAACACATTCAAAGTTCAGACAGTTTCATTGTCAAAAGTTATTTTCCATGGCAGGATGCAAAGCCGTCAATTGCACAGAGTTTCTGGTTGGTCCACATTCTTTAAATTGTGAACAAGGTGAAGCATCGGCACTGTCCTCATGATTGCGTAACTTTAAGCGGGCGTCGTAGCACCACCTCCACAGGCCCGGAGGCAAGAGTTTTGATGAAATTCCACACTTCCAGACGTCTCTTCCCCTCCACGCTGAAACCTTGAATTTCTAAAATCTCATCACCAGGGAAAATCTTGTCAACAGGACCATCTGAAAACAAACAAACAAAAACCTTTAAATACAGTTTTATGACAGTGGTTTTTCAAAAGATGCAGGAAAAAATATTTTAACAGGAAGATGTCAATTAAAAGTTGTTTTTTTTAAAGCCTTACTAACTTAGCTCATGCTGCAAGCAAAAAGGCCTGGGACTCAGTTTGTCTATTTAATATTTTCAATTAAAGCTGAACAGAAAATCACATATTATCTTCTGTATTACACATACAGGGCACACTTCTAAATCATTAACATTTTCACAGCCACATATCTACTGTTGCACAGCACAAAAGAAAGAAAACCAAATACTTCCAACACACCCAATATTTTGACAAACATAAAACTGGAAAAACAAATGGTGTGATTGTTGGAGAAAACTACTGACAGATTAATTTGCGTCCTGATGATTAAAAAGTGAAAATTAACTTTTGCTTAAGTCTCTGCTCTTACACTTTAAGTTTAAGGACATATTTATGTCCTCAGATGTGATTACTTTCTTGCTTTTCAGCCACACTTAAATGATGCAGACCACCAAATCTAACATTAGATTAAGTCATCAAATATAATGTAACATAATGTAATAAAGTATAATGTAATGTAATATGGTGTGATGAAATTGAGGAACTTGCTGATAGTTTTCATTTAATAAGTTATATTGGTCTATCCCGCATAAATGGTACAAATAGTTTTTTGATGTTCTTACCCAGGAAGATATTCTGAACGGTGAGTGGTCTGTTCCCTAGATTGGACCCTACACCTCCCATCAGGCTGAAACCCAGATCTCTTCTGTTCTTCTCGAGCTGGATGCACACACGCTGGCCTTTAAGGTGTAAAAATTCACACACGTTGGACTTACTTTAAGTTCCAATGTCAAAGACTCGCATGTTTAGACTCTTTGTAAAGCATCGCCTCTCACCTGCCTCATACTGAGTCTCTGACTGACTCAGGTCACCTTTCCTCAACACCACCACTGCCATCTCTCGAAGCTTTGCCCTTCTGAGGGTCCTCTGAGCCTCCCAGTGAGAACATTTTGAAAAAGCAGTGCCGTTAATGGACAAAACATGGTCTCCCTCACGAATCGAACCCTCCTGGGCTGCAACACCTGAGTTAAAGACCTTGTGAACCTGAAAGCAACATAATGAGACAGCAGAAAAATGAAGACATAAAATGTTTTAACATTTAACATGGGAGAAAAAGAAATGGGGTTAGGGTAGTGTTCTCACAGTGACAGGTTTGTTTTGGTCTACACCTCCTGCCAGACTGAACCCAAGTCCTACTCCCACCTCCTTGTGCAGAACCACTACATTCACATCATCGTAGTCCTGCGTGACAGACAAAAAACAGAAAAAAGATTAGTGCCATAAAACATTTCATTCCAAAAACATAAGAAGTTCTGAAGAAAATGGTAAAATTGAAATGTAGAGTCTATCAAGAAAATGTTATTCTGTATCATAACTTGAATGAACTGTCTGAACATCACACGCCTCAGACTACATTCACACACTCACACAAGCTCTGCATGCAGGCCTTGCACATGCTACTGGAATGCAGATGGATCAGTTTAGCATTCAGAGCTTTTTACTACAGAGACAAAGGTAGTTTGGTTGGAAACAAACAAATGTGAAACAATAGTTTCACCTTTTCTTCCTGAAATACACGAGACCTTGAGAAGACCAAATGTTTCCTATATGAGAGTAATAGATGGAAATAGTTCAGCTCTCACCCCCTAAGAAATAGATGATTCTTTAGCCTTAATTACTGCAGTTGGATACAAACACAGTTTTTTTCCAGTTATCATTTGTTTAAAACACTGACGTAAAAAGATAATAGAAAAATTGTTCAACGTCTGTACCTGTAATGTTTCATCCCCTAGGTTCTTGACCTCCTCCACCAGCTTGTCGAGCTCATCACTGGGAAGCAGAGAGACACAGGAAAAGGCAGAGACATCTGAGCTTATTGAGGCAGATCGTCGACCTGGTCTCTGCCAATCGTCCTCGTCATTATCTGATTCGACGTCAGTACCAGAGAAGTGGCACAAGTTTGAAAGACTGATACAGCCGGAGTGAGAGAGAAAAACAAACACAAGTCACTTTAACTACAACTTTCATGAAATAAGAAATCCAATAATTCAAGCATAAGCTACCTGAGGCTAAAACTCCTGTTTTCTGACTGGCTCATGTTGCTGGTAATGGTTGCTGAGGAATCCCCAGAGTCGGAGTCGGTTGAATCATCGTCCTTCTGTGTGCTTCCATCATCATCCTCACACTCCCCCATGTATTTGTTCCAGTTTTTATACTCTGGGTCCAGGCTGGCTATCCATGCATTCAGATCCAACAACTGTTTCCTCCCTTTAGGTAATTCTGCTTTTACATTTGAATAGAAGACATCCGACGAGTTGTTTTGGTAAGAATTGTCAGGAGGGAGATCGAAGGAGTCTGTATCTTTAGCTTTGTCTTCTTGCCCAGTGACATGAAGACTTGTGGTCTCTGCAATGGGAAAGAAATCCTCTGGTTCTTGGACAGGTGAAGGAAAAGGTGAGGTGTTCAGAGGGATGTTTGTTGGAGTCTTTTCATCATCACTGACTGGTGAAGAAATTTGCTGCTGTGGCCTTGGCTGTATGTCTGATGTATGTGTGAATGTCACAGTGTCTCTCAAGTTTGAGTCCTCGGAGAAAAGAGATTTGTTGTGCTGTTGCGCTCCTTCATTAAGAGGGATGTGGAAAGTTTTCTTGTGGCTGTAATATTGACCTAAATCTTTGGATAAATTGTTGTTTTTCCTTCTGTCTAATACATTACTTGAATCTGTCTCTGACATTCTTGATTTGAATCCAAAGTCAACCAGTGATAAAGACTTCTCTGATGCAAACATCGTCCTTTTTTCACTGCTTCCATCTGTCTCTGTCTCCCACTTACAGCTTCGCTCACCTATGTAATTTGCGGACCCACTCTTCTTAACCCCTTCTTGGCGTGAGCAGGGCTGTGCCTGTACAGACAAAGTTCGCCTTGGGATCTGGACGTCGTTTGCTGCTCTCTGTGTCAGAGCTTCAAATTGATTTATCTTATTTCTCACGCTGGCTGAAGAGGAGGCCGACAGACTCTCTGGAAGTTTTTTCCACTCTGATGATGGCAAGATGCCCTCACTTGGATTTGCATGAAAAACATCATCTGCAATTCCACTCCTGGGTTTACTTTGTTGTTTTGTTCCTTCATCTCTTTCTTTGCTGCCCTTCTGGGCTTTACTTACTTCAGTCATGTCTGTTTTTTTGTCTTCTTGGTTGTACGTTCTCTGTGCATGTATAGATCCTTCATATGTTTGGTACTGTGCCATGCCAGCACAAGCCCTGGCAGACCTAATTCGACCTGCGACTGTGTTCCTGCTCCTAGCTCTATCCAAGGACTTTGTGCCCACTTCTATTGTCTCCCTCCTGTAACCATCTCCCTCTAAATACTTTCTACCTAACTCTTCTTGCCTATGTGTCTCTGTTGATCTCTCTTTGAGTTTGACTGTCTCAAAAGAAGCTAACGTCTCAGAGTTTTGAGAATTTGCTTCCTTTGGAGCCCAGATGGTTGCGGCTTTTCTCACCGGACTGTAGTCGTCACACAATGAGAACCGCCTGGGAAAGGTTCCCCCAACTGTTGTATCACCAGCAGATTCAAAGAGTTTCTGTATGCGTTCTTTGATGCTCTTCCCACGTTGGGGCCCTGACGGACAGTCGAGCCCCAAGGCAGGCCCAGACCCGGTCTTAAATCTGACAGGCAGTGTGTTGGCATTTCTGACTCTGTTTGCAAAGTCTTTGTTATTTACAGAACGATTGTCTTCAAAGTAACATGGACTTAAGGAAGAAGTCCCACCTCTTGGTATATTCTCAATTTTTGTCCTTTGTTCCTCAAAATCTCTTGCTTCTGTTTTAACAAGCAATTTTGGTTCGCCATCTGTGGTAGTCCTAGGTAGACATCTTGGCTTTGATCTCCAGTCTAAGCTCATACTTCTGCTTGGTAGGTTGCCTCCCCTTTCCTCTGTCCTATCCAAGCCATGGAGTGCCAGGCTTCCTCCAACAACAGTCCCATTCTCTTGGGGGTTTCTCTTGACTGTATCATTCTGGTTGATGTCTTTCTGGTAGACAAAACCCAAGTCCTTTTTTGTGTTTGAACAATCGGTGTCATCAGCATTCTCAGCTGTCGGTCGCTTCCTTACCCCTGACCTACGAGTGAGACTGTATGAAGGAGAGTTAGCTGAGCGGACAGTGAATCGTGTACCAGTCCTCTCTGGGATATTTTCACTTGTTGAAGGTGGGAGCAAGTCCATTGTTTGAGAGTTAATAAAGAATTTTTTTTTTATGAAATTGTGTTTCTCAAAAAGAAAAAAAGTAGAAGTTAGTGTTTGACAGATCCCAGTCTTTTTGAAGGACTTTTGCAAAAAAAAAAAACAAACAAAAATACTCTGGAAGTATCTCTAATTGTGGTTGACTATTAGATCGTCTTCTTTGGTTCTTCTTCTGAATTTGTTCTCGGACACTTCAAATTTCAATTCTCAGCTTCAGTTACATACTTCCAGGACCTGCCAAATATAAAAAGGTAAAGTTTTAGTGTTCAGTGTTTAGTGTTCATAATACATTTTGACGACTAGAGCAGAAACAGTCAAACAGGCTTACAGTGACCAATATATTTAGGATGTAACAGAAATACTTTACTAGAGAACAATTAAAGTGGCAAACATATTGCTTTTTGTAATAGAAAATGACACTTTGAAATGTATGTTTTGGAAAGTGTCATTCCAATAAAATACATAGAATTTGATGTGACAGGCCACCTAAACTAGTAAATATCTGGGAAGGAGAAGGGAAATGTCTCAATTTCTTTACATTTCCATTTTTTATGAATGAAAATGGAAAATGCTTGGTGAGCAATTGCATCCTATTTTACAACCCATAAATACAATTCAGCAAGAGCCTGCACCAGTTACCGTATTAATAATGAGCGTCTGTGTATGTATAATTTGATTGGAGCATAAATAGAGACTACTAAGATGTCAGAGTCTTGTTAAAAACAGTCAGCAAATAGCATCATTACGACCAAGGAGCACATCTAACACAGCTTTTCCTTTATGAAAGAGTCAGAAGACCAAAGCCTGTGTTAAAAACTGTGTGGCAGGAAGAATGAAGATGGGGAAGCTGTTCTTCAGCAGGATGACAAAAACTAGTCAAAGATATATGGAGCTAAATACAGGGCTACTGAAAGGAAGTTGTATTTTGGTTACAGGAGCATAATACAACCAGAGTTATCATAGAATGGTTTAGATCTAATCATATTCCTTTGTAAGAATGGCCTAATCAACGTCCAGATTTAAATCCAACAGGAAATCTGTGACAAACTTAAAAACTACTGTTACAGTCTCTCTCTTTGAAGTATAACTAAATTTGAGCTATTTTGCGAACAACTTGACGTATTTTTTGTGTGTAGAGTTGGAAGAAATGTACCGCAAAAGCAAAAAATTATTAAAAACACATTAATTCCTGTGCTGGCCAAAATATTTTGATTCAAATTTGTGAAGAAAACAAAATAACATCTTTTTTTTTTTACTTCCACTTCCCTATGTGGAATAATGTGGAAACTTTATGTTAGTATTTCAACAAAACTATAATGTGTGAAATTGCATACGTATTAAAGTTGTATGGGTATTTTTGCAGGCCACTGTAAAAAAAAAACTATATTAACTGGTAGGAAAATATAAAAAAAACTAAACACACTTTGAACTTTTCAGTCATCTAATATTACAATATTTTATTGTCTTCATGACATTCTCCTCAAAGTAAAATAAAAACACCTAAACCCTGACCAGCTCTCTGCTTTCGACACACACCATGATATCTGTTTATACAAGCAACAAGCTCAAGACAACTCGTTGGCTAAACTGGAAAAACTCACCTTACAGCAATCCTGCTCAGCTAAAAACAATGCTTTTAAATCACCACCACAACACCAGTCTCTATGCAGTGCGTATCGGTCTGAGTGAGACAGCCAAACTAATTGAAAAATCTTGTGTTGGTGGATTCAGATATACTAAGCAGACATCGTAACAACAGACAATGACAAAGCCACCTTAATTTCCATACAGGCCACTGAGAGAAAGATAATATTGCTGTCAGACAATGTCCTTTCATTGACCTGAGTATACAGCAGCAACATAACAGGCATTTCCAGCAGGTGAAACTATCCCAAAGTCATGACTGACAAGAAAAAAATCCAATAAATTATTCAAATATAAACTCTAAAAACCCAAAGCACCATAACTTGTATGGTTTGAAGCATTTTAAGTCTATATAACAGTATGTATTTTCTTAATAATAGCCTTCAGTGGTGCTTTCCAGTGTAGAAGAGTCCGAGTGTCGGCTTACAGAAACACCTGTGCTGCAGGCTTCCCAAGCCTCCCATCTGTGTACCCTGGGATAAAACTTTAAACCTGCATTAATACAAAGAAAGAAAACTGCTTATTTACATAAACACTAACCGTACCTTCACAAAACGTGTCCTCTGATCACATCCCAAGCCATCATGTTGGTCGTTGTGGACAGGGCTCAGTGGTGACATCAGCACCTAACTCCTCTCTTTTTCTCTTTGTCGCTCTTCTATTCGCTTTGCATGATGGACGGCATACAGTGATGCAAACCTGCTACACTGGTTTGTCTTCCTGTCTTGGCTCTCTGGTTTCCTCTCAGCTTCTCTCTCTGTCATTCTGTCTCCTCCCACTTTGCCATTGTTTTCCACCCCTAGCAGAGTAGCATTCCTGACTGCAGAGTGTAGTCCTCTGCAGAGAAGTCCAAATGCATTTGCTCCATTGCACATTTCTTCTGAATTCCACAAGTTATGTAAATGAACCTTGCCATCAACAAACAATTTGTTTCTCAATTGAGGGAACTAAGACAACCAAACGAAATTGATCTTCTAACCTTGATAATTGGTTCTGCACCCTTGGCGGTAAATACTGCCATCAGCCCTTTGTGTTATGTGCCAACCGGTTGCTGAGGAATTGATTGTTTAGTCACATTGGAAAGTTTTTAAGCATAGCAACCAGTTTCACACTACAGGATTGCAATTGGATTTAAGTCCAGACTTTAACTAGGCCACAACAAATACTAAAATGTGTTATTGGAACCATCCACAGAAAGACTGTTCTTAAATTCAGGTTCAGTCTGTGTGATTATCTTAGCCAAAATATTTTGCCAGGCAAAAACGACTGGTGTGACAAATGCTTTAAACATCTATTCACCAAAAACAGCCTGACTCAAACATCAAGCATCAAGCAGTGTCTGATACTTTCTGGGAAAATATGACTTTGTGGATAATGATTCTTGCTAGAGCCCCAGAGCTTTATAAGAGGTTTTCTAAATTAATCCACATGGAAACATATCAATTTATCTTTGTTTTTAACCTGTTACTGAATTTGTTTAAATTGTAAGAAAAATATTAGCCTGCTTAATGCAGTCAGGGAAGTTATATTTAAAGGACTTCTTCTTTCTGCAGATCAACAATTCAACCAATTAATAATTAGACTGATGATTTAAAACATGTATCTGTCACTTTGCTGGTGTTCCACAGAAATTGTGGGGCAATAAAGGATATTTCTATTCTGTGTCTATTTGATCTCTCCTCTACTCTTTGTACACTTGACAAAGAAGAGCAAACTGTGCAAACAATCTTTAAGGGGGAAATACTTTTTCAAAAGACTGTTTGTGCACACATCTACCAACCAATGCAGTTAGGTTTGTTATGTTTATGTAGGCTCTACACATTCTTTAGACACCTTCAACCTATGAAACGTGACATCAGCATTTTAGCTTCCAGAGAAAGAAGTTGTGATACTTGTGTGAAATGCACATGATTGGCATTTCCCACAAGACGATGATAATTACATCCACCTCGACACAATGCGAACAAAACTGGAGTCAATATATGACAACTCTTATTAGCAGAGTACTCTTAACCTGAGCCGAAGGAACCAACAGAAAATATTAATATTTTATTTGTAACTCTGATGTCATGGCTTCTACATAACAGACATATTGGTTGAAAAGCTAAGGCAGAGCAATGTTGATAAGATAAAAAGTACTACTTTGCAGCTTATTAAAATCCAGTTAGTAGGCTAGTGAGCACACATGTTTTCTACAGAACCAAAGACGAAACTCAGATAAATTTATTATTAAATGTACTTACAGGATTTGTTGTAGACTTGGGATGTGTCAACCTCCTACAACTGCTGTTTTGCATGCACCTGCTTCTCGCTTTGTCTTCTGTCTAAACAAAGGAAACTGTGGTTGCTGCTGCTCTAAATATGAGAAGGCTTGATTTCTGCTACAGCCTGTCAAACTAAGCTGAATTAAACTCGGTAATTTCAAGAAACCTGTTAGTCTTATTTTCTCAGTGAAAGACGCGCAGTACAGATGTAAGGGCTGGTGCCTTTCTGTTCTGGGAAAAGTGTGTGAGTGGGGCTAAATAACTCAAACACAACTCCACAGACACCCACACTTGTTCATGACAGAAGAAAGACCCTCAGTGTGTCTGCAGATGGATGCAAATGAAGGTCTGCCTTTCTCAGCGCCACCGCTGCTCTAAATAGATTTTTTGATTTATGGTGTAGGACTCTGTAAATGTCATAAGGACTGGAATTGGCTCTTTGAGCAACAAAGAGCAAAACAGCAAGGGAACATGGAGAATAAAAGGCAAAGCAGTGAATGATAGAAAATTAGATGAAACCTTTTCACAATATGACACACAAAAAGGGTTTCTTAATGTTTCCAAAAAGATTTCAGTCCTTTGAATGTGATTTGTCTATTTCTTAAACTTGGAAGACATTTCTTCAGTGAAGTAAAACTGCCAGCAGGTGACAGCAGAAGTCACAGACAGAATGTTGGACTGGAACAAATCATATGTCAGAGCCACATTGTGAGTGGCACTTTCTTTGAGCCAAAAAGATGTGCGAGACATTTCAGTATCAATGGAGTCACGTGAAACTGTGGGAATTCGTGATCTGGTATATTAGTGTTTCACATTAGATATAAACAGTAATGGCATAGTTACTTTGAAAAGTAACTTTAATCAAATTACTGTTTATTACTTGATTTGGAAAGTAACGAAGTTACATCAGAAGTAACTTTTTTAGTTACTTTCAGCGGCTGTTGACATTGATGTTCCACCACATGTGAAAATTACATTGAGTTCTGTCAATACGTAATTGGAAGTTATTGTATGATGGTAACATCAACTATGTGTCTCTTCTTATAAGGTTGAACTGAAGGAAGACTGTTTAATGGTTAAAACAGAACAGAAAAATAAAATAAAACTTTAGTATTTGCATGTTTTCGTGCGTTCCACTGAGGCCTGTCACGACAACAAATTACGCCGTCCCACTGGATTTTCTGGCAGAATCTTTCTCTTTACGGTACAACGTCAGTCACGTGACTATTGCGGAAGTCAACAAAGAAGACGGGGAGTGTAGCGACCCGAACCTTCCTGATGTTTGTCACTTTTTTAGACATTTTATAATGTATTTTTTAAGCGGAAACCTAAGGGAAGCCTCAGGTCGAATGAAGATAAAAGTATTAATTTACTGAGAGACAATTTTTAGCTGCTTCATCTGAAGAGAAACAGATTTGAATCATGGATAAAGATAAATATGGAGCCTCAAAAGTGAACGTGTTTCTTGTTTTGACTTACGGCATTTTGGTGAGTTTCATAATTTCTGCAAGTTTGTTTAAGTTTTAACCAGATTGGACACATCTGGCTCTAAAAGGTCTGATTGGAAAAATGAACATGATCCAGATGTATTGATTTATACCGAATCTGTTACCACTACTTCAGTCAGCTGCTTAGCAAACATGGAGCTTGTGACTTGTTAACTGAATCCTCTTTAGTTTGCACAACAAACTAAAGGCTGTTTTTCGCTGCAGAAAGTATTTCTAATCTAGCAGATTTTGATTTTCAATAAGAAAAGCTTACTACATACATTAATGCAGCCAGGGAAAATTGTTGCATCTCATTGGAATGACTTTAACCATAGGAGCAGTGTAATATTTTAACAATTTTCTTTTAAAACCGTGTTTTATCATACTGGCATTTGGCCCATGCTTTGCCATCAATGTTGCTTCATTTGCTTGTTCAATGTCCGTCTTTAGTCAATATCAGTTATTCAATTTCTGTTGCAGAGTGTAATACCACTTCAGTTTAAGTAAATTACCTCCTGAAAGTAAAACTTATAATACAAATAACTGGCTCAAAATTCTGTATTTGAAAGGAAAAAGAAAAACAAACCAAGATAACTTAGAATATTTTTTTTTTTTCATAAAGACATCTCTTCTAAATAAAGCAAAGAGTCTTGTTATGAGGCAGTTTTCTGCTGGGAAACTCTCATTACCACAGACAGACTAATAGGGTCAGCTGCTCACATCAACAACAGGAAAGTCCATAGTTTCTGTGTCCCAGCAGGACAAACCTGTTCAACTGTCAACAAGGTGGACAGATGGTTCTAATGTTCTGGCCAAGTATTGTGTAAGAGGAGTTTAAAAAGACTATTTTATTCTTCTGCTTTGTGTTTAGGTATTTGTTTTGCTGTTCATCTTTATAAAAAGACAAATTATGCACTTTGCCATTAAGTCTCGAAGAGGACCACATGTTCCCATTGGCCACAATGCTCCAAAGGTGGAACACACACACGCACGCACACACACATCATAAGTTTGATCCTGCAAAGTATTTTAGTTGTTAATCTACCAGCTGAATGTGTTTTGTTGGTCTTGTAGGAGCTGAAACAAGTAATTGAAGCCAAATTGTGCGAGGTCCAGAAAATCCACTATGAGCCCCGTCTGTTGTCCCCAGCGGATGACCGACTAACACAGAGACGACAGTCTGGTCAGAGTGTACAGAGCCTGCACATAAGCACTGCAACCATCAGGAATCATACCACTGATAGAAATGTGTTTTGTGTGTTTATGTTTATAGGTTCTGATGACTATCTGTACAGGATGAAAGCACTTGATGCTGTCCGGGACACTGGTAGTATCGCTTTTCTGTAATTGCAAGAGAAATAATCCCATCTCCTACATCCATATATTTCCTTTGATTTCTTTAGATTTTCCTTTCCGTGAACTGGGTGGGACACCCAGCGCTGTGACGGGAAAAAGATTTCGGACCTGGCTGCTGCAGCTGCAAAATTCCCACAGCATGTTTAGAGACAAGCAGAGCTCTCTGATAGACACAGTGTTAGATGGTTACAACAAAGCACGCCATGGGGCCGAGGTCAGCAGTTTCTCTCATCGACTACGTTAATCTGAATTGTGTTACCATCAATAATATCATGCAGTATGTTTTGCTACAACAGGAACCAAATGATAAGTATTTTGTCTAAATTTATAGAAAAGACATGGAGAAACGTTTCATGTTTTACATTCTTCCTGATATAATCATTGTACTTTTATCAGTCAGAAGATTTACGGTTGAATGCAGTGGTGGGTAAAGTATGTAAAAATTTTACTTGAGTAAGAACTACTTCAACATATTTTTCTGCAAGTTAAAATAAGTTTAAAAAAAATGTAAAAATGATATAGAAGTACTCTGTAATTGATTATAACATTCAAATTTTAAAAATGTCAGACCAAAATATAAAGTTATGTTCAAGTTCTTGTATTTTCAAGACTAAAATGAAAAAAAATAAACCAAATAAATAACCATCCAAAATCTTAAATTTTACAAATATTTTTTTCAGTATAAAACTTTGAAACCAGTGGGTAATAGATATTTGAAAATGTTGCCATAGTGATGATAAAAAGTGTGACAACTACACACATCATGTCTTGTTAAATGTGCACATAATGCACTTGGTTCTCATCCACAATCACTCTTTGTGAAACAAAAGTTTTCTCATAGTTCTCCAAAAGCCAAACCTTTGTTTTCTTCCTAGTGTGTTAGTTTTAATCAAATGTAAAGCATTGTGACTTCTTTGAGGTGTTCTGATCATTTCTTCAATCTATTTGGAGTTGTGCAGCAGTCATGATGAAATACATTCACAAAGTGCTGTCATAGAAGCATTTTGTGCAAATCTCTCTTATAAAAACTAAAGTGAATTTCTGTCTGTAACGTTGAGGACCAAGTACGACACGATAGATTCAGTTTTCTCTGATGTTCTACCTGTTTGTGTCCTCAGGCTTTTGGAGAAGCAGAGTTCATCAAGTACCAGGAAGCTCTAACTGAGCTAGCTGCTATGTAAGGAAGCACAGCCTTCCCCCACTCAGATTCTTCCCAGAGTTTGTGTTAATCCCAGCACGGAATGTCAGTTGCGCAGTAAGCAATCTGCTTTTCTGTTCTGTTGTTTCAGCGTGAAGTCTCGCGGCAGCACACTGAGCCACCACCACCAGACTGCAGCCAGAGACCTTACCGGCACCACCGAGCCCAGCAGCCCTTCCTCCTGCTCCTCGTCCCCCACCCAAACCACCTACCTCACATCTGCAGCGCAGCAGCGCAGTAAGAGGCCCAGGAACTTCCTGGAGCTGAAGAACTTCAAAGATAACTACAACACGCTAGACAGCACGCTCTGAAATAATTATGGATGTGTCCAGAGGAAAAAAGTTTTAAGTCATTTACTACTGCCTGTAATCCCAGTGCCTCGCTCACTGTCACCTGACAGTATGTGATTAAACACACTGCCTTCTTATTATGACTTGCACTGCAGAACACTGCACATCAGACTACTGATTCAAACACTGCTATTTGTCTACGTGTGGCACCGTCCTATTACTGCATGTATACTGTAAGTGCTATAATGTAACAAAGTAAACAGGGTTGACTTGACCAAAACAAAGAAACTTATCATGCTTATGCAACAGCATAGGACAATCAGTATTTATTGCACAATGTAGTCACCTATGCAGATATGTTCAAATTAACCTCCTAAGTGTATAAAATAGTTAATAGCTATGAAATAAACTACTGTATGTGCATTTTTCTATCATGAAAGAAAACACTGTTTATGCCAGTAATTTTTATGTTTATGTATGTTTCTATGTTGTTCCTTTGAGCCATATATATATATATTTTACTTCCTTTAAGCCTTTTCTTACAAAAGCCATATAATTCAGGAACTGTATTGATTAAGTGCCTCTTTTTTGATCAATTATCTTAATTGAACAGCATTTTAATGTTTTAATATGTGTTGGGGTTGAGGTATGACTTCAGGGGAAGACCGTTGACTGTTTAGTCTTACAAATTAGCCTGCTGATATGAGAAGCATCTATTTTTTAATTGTTTGACTTGTCTAACTTTGAGTACTTTTTATTTCCTGTGGTGCTTATGAATACATGCTGCCATGCAAAAAGCAGCCAATCCTGTCAAGTTGCAAAATATGCTTAACGTAATAAACTGTAAATTCTCAACTGAAATATTAACTTCTTGCCATTTTCCTTTGTTATGGAGTCTGCACAATGTCAAAATGCAGAATGACACGTTTCTCTCAAACACAAACATCATTATAAAGACTTAAAGTCATTTGGTGAATTTGTTGTTATAGAGGCAGCTTTAAAGGACGTGAACTCATGTACTTTAAATCGTTCTACTTGTCACAGCAAGTAGGAAACATGTCCTAATCACAAACATGTCGTTTGTGATTAGAATGTGTGTGTGTATTCTTAGAGACATTTGTCTTTCTAAAATAAATGTCGTTTATAAAGTAACTGAAAAGATTTTAATCAGAAAAAGTATTTACAAATACTACTTCCAATTGCAGGTAATTTACTACTGTAAAATATTCATATATATATATATATATATATATATATATATATATATATATATATATATATATATATAATACAGAGAGTAAATAAGACACAGATCCGGGTTAATTTCTCCTCAAATTTTACTCCTAATTTGTTCTGGAAATCATTAAATCGTTGAACATTTTTGCAATGTTTGAGTTTGTCAAAGTAGCATTTTGTAGTGAGAGAAGTGTCCAGCAGAGGTCGCCCTCATCCTCACAGGAAGTTTTCATTTTGTCTAGGAAGTTTCTTTGAGGAATTGAAATATTTTCTTTTGCCAGGATTTTTTTTTTTAGTTTCCAGCTAACAAGTATTTCCAAGAAATTACCAGATTAGTTGTTTATGTGTCTCTTCACAGTGACTTATTAATAATAGTGAATATTTCCTGTCAAGCTATAACAACTATAAAGCATGCACTTTGTAAAGTGTTTATTCTGAAAATTACAGAGATAACAGATCAGGACATATATTTAATACAAAAACTCTTCTATCAAACAGGTTTTATTTTAGCATAAATAAATAAAAAGCAGAAAGTCGTTTGAATTTTCAACATCTAATTACATTCACTGAAATATGTACAAGATGAAGATTCAGACAATGACATGGAAGTGAAATGAACATTATTTTTGGAGGAAAAATGCAAATTAAGACACTTTCAGTTTTCCTTCTGTGCGCTCACAGTTTCATAAAGTGCCCTTCTGTTTTAGGGGCCCAAACAAATTCTGAAAATGTGAAAGACCCAAATAGTAATTTGATTTTTTTTGTGTATATAAATTTCTACTTGCATATGGCTGTGTACATATGAAAGGGTCATATATTCGCAAATGACAAACCTGTACAGACACAGTCTAGATGATGTCAATGCTTTTTGTGTCGTTTATCACGACAGTGTGAGAAAGCAACAGTACATCGATGCTACATTACTTTAGTAGAGCGTTACGTTGTCATGAATAGGGCATAAGCTGCACAGTCAACACTATAAACTCAAAGTTCAAATGTGTGATAAGAATGAAAACAGGTCAGAACCAGGAGAGGTCTCACTCTACTAACAGCAAAAAAACCAAAATGCACATCTGAGTCACTAGAGTATCTACGTAAAACTGACTTGCACACAGTCATGAGGCAAATATACAGCGGGTGCTGCTGATCACTCCACTGTTTCCTTCAAACATTGTTTAGTTGGGAAGCGGCTTTAGTGGAGCTGTTAAAGTTGCAGTTTGGGAAGGCTCAGCTCTGATTCTCCTTTCAATCTGATGTGGTCACCAGCAGAGCTGCTGTCTCAATTCAGTCTGGAAAAATGTCTGCTGCTTCCGGTTGTCAGGTTCCCCTGTTTTCTCATGACCGGATCTCGATGACTTTGATGAAGGGCAATGGTTTGTTAGAGGAGGTGGATGGCTTCAGTGGTTTACTGCAATAACAAGGGCAAAGGGAGTTAATCACTTTTACTAAAAACAGCAGAACATAAAATAAACATTTAGGACATAAAATAAATAAATGAAAAGACACTCACATTAAATTAGAATAAACTTTACATGTTTTAGTTCAGTTAGGATTACCCCAATTATTAACATTTTCTAAATGCCAGAATAATAAGAGAGAGTTTTGAGATGTATTTTGCCTTCAGATTCAGAATATATTTGGAAAAACTGTCACATTTTTTGGGGTTATTGTTCTCCATGGTTATGAAAGAATTTGGATCCATTTCTCTTGACAGAAAAAAATGAGGTCAGATTGTTGCATTGGTCACTCCACCTCATCCACTTTATTGTGTGGAAGTTACTTTTTAACAAATTTAACTGTACACTAAGCGTCATTGTCTATTTGCTCCCAAGTTTTAACTTCTTGGCTGATGTCTTTAGATGTTGCACCAGTTTTTATACATAATGTTCTTTCCTCGTGATCAGTCTTATGATGTGCACTAGTTCATCCTGCAGCAAAACAGCCCCACAACATAATGCTGCCACTCCCCTGCTGCTCAGCTGAGATGGTGCTTTCATGTTTGTGGAAAAAAAAAAAAAAAAATTAGGACTTTTGTCCTTTGTGTGCATTTGCAAACTGCAATCTGGCTTGTTGCAGTTTTTAATTATAGGCTTTGTCTTTGCTGATTTAGTGATAATATATAAATAAGGTCCTAAAAAATATTTTATTTGTTTTGGCTAATTTAGTAGTGGCTTGTCAAAATGGTTCTTTGTTAAATATGACGTGTACTGTAGAAAATCAGAAAGTCACAGGTTTATAGATATAATCCCCTTAAAAATATTTATAAATTAGAAACATTTTTCCTCACTACTTAAAGATAAATTTCCTAAATTTATAGTGTTTGATTATGTTACTACAGAACAAGATGAATTTATTTGAAGTTTTTTTTTCAGATAATTCACATTCTTACCACAGGGGTGCCATAAATTGTGAAAAATTGCTGCTTTCGCAGAAAAAAAAAATCAAGGACAAAATAGGTTACCTGTACACAATCTGTGGATTGCGCTCTGTTGAGAGATAGGAGCTTGACCTTTGTCCTCCCAGGAAGTAGTCCATCTGGTCACGCATTTCTCGATTCTGCAAACAAAGTGGTTTAAGGGTTATTAACAGTATTACCAAGCATTGCATTTTCTTTCTCTTTCTAGAACAAGGTTTTTCTTTTTAAATTTGCTCCCACAGTCCAGATATTTTTTTTCTCTTCTCTTTACTATAGCAGAGGCCAGGAGCGCTTCTCACCTCAGCCTCCAAGAATGCCACTTTCTCCTCCAGCTCTTGGATCACGCGGTCTCGCTCCTGGATCACCATGCGAGAGTTCTGGAGCTGAAGACGAGCAAACAGAGAAACCAAACAGTGAGCAAACCCTGCACAAATACGAGCAAGAAGTCCGTGTGTTTGCCTCACAGAGTCTGGCGTATGTGTTTCTCACCTGCTCAATCATGTGTCTGACTTTCCTCTGTTGGCTTTTCAGCATGTCATCCAGATGGTGGATCTTTTCTTTGAGAATAGCCACCTCCTTCTCCAACTGCTCAGCCCTAAAAATACACATCGTAGATATCAAAATACCGGAATTCAAACTCTGGGACCTTTTTATGTTTTTGTCACGTTGCAAACACAAAAAAGGGAAATGAAAGGCAATTAGATATAACTTTCAGGGTTTCTATGTTTTTTGTCTATATTTTTTTCCATTGTACAGAATAAAGAACCTATAAATTCTTTGCCATTTACTCTAAGAGAATCAGGGAGAAATCTACAGTCTGAATAAAACTAAAAGGTGTCCAGTTTGCTGCATTGAACGGGACATAAGACACATGCATAGGAAGGTTTTCTGGTGAAATATCCATTTTCTTCTGCTTTTCAATTATGCACTACTTTATTTTCTTCTACTAGATAATATCCCATCAACTACACTAAAGTTTGAGGTTGAAACATGTCAAAATGTGGAAAAAGTTCAGTGAGTCCTTTTGTGATGCAGTTGGCGTTGTGTGACTTTGAAGGCTGACCTCTGCTCCCCCTGATGGCCTTCCTCTCTCATCTTCCGCAGCTCACGCAGTTCGTCCTCGCGGCTGTGGATGGTCTCCCTCAGGGTGGCGCTCTCGTGCTCCATTCCTCCCAGCAGCCTCTGCAGCTCTTCAATGCGCTTGTCTTTCTTCTCTCCGGCTTCTTCTGAGACCCTCAGCTTCTCCTCCTTGTCGCTCAGACAGTCTCTAAGCCTGCTGCCTTCAGCCTAAATGAGACAGAGAGTCGAGCTTCTTTAGATGAGGAGATAAATAATGGAGGGTAAAGGTGATAACCTTTGTGTATATATTACCTGCAGTTTCTCTTTCTCCTCCTGGTGCTTCTTTTCTGCCTCCTGCAGCTGTGCATACAAACGCTTGCTGACCTCTCTCAGCTTGTTTCTCTCTGCTTCTTCATCTGCATCCTGTAGATAAACAGCTGTTAGCTTTGCAACTTTTCAGTTGGGCACATACTTTTATGATAATAAAAATTGCTTTTGTTTCGCCTAAGCTCTGAGGGTTTGCCTATCATAAACACAACGGGCGTGTCTGCGTGCGTCACTGGAACATTTAGGTTGCAGTGACCTAAATGTCAGTTTGTTTGTGCAGCATGCAATGCATACGTTGGAGATGTAGTGTGACTCACAGATACGAGTACAATTGGGACGTAAACACACAGAGAGCTGAGTTGTGTTTGTACAAAACTCTGAGGGTTGTGAAGGTGAGGAAATGTGCAGGTCGAAGACCAAACAGGAAAACTATTTTAGTTTAAAGCATCTGTGGAATGAGGAGGGTCTGAAAACAACAACATGTGTAGAGGGAGGAACAACAAAGCGTGTTCCAACGATATTTTTCACACAGCCTGGGGGGAATATAAGGAACATTGACGCTTTGATATAATTTCTTCATGTTCTTTTTCCCTCATAACCTTTCTGTTTGTGCCTCTGGGAGCGGATTGCTTTACACAATGTTCAGTGTGCTGACGCTACAAACGTGAGATTCAATATGTTCTCTAAAAGCCTCACGCGGACGAAAAACAAACAAAAAAAAAACACCAACAGCAGCTTGAAGCAGAGCATGTGCACATGTTTTTCTGCTCACCTGTGCGGCGGTTTTGGGAGCAGACAATCCGTTCTTTCGGAATGGGATTCC